AAACTATGCCCGTGGGGCCTGCTTCAATCCATACAGAGACCGCTTCAACCGACATACCTCAATGAAAGAGTGAATGAACATACTAGGGGGAGGACTCATAAAAATTTCCTCCTTCAAGTCCCCATGTAAGAACGCATTCTTTACATCTATTTGCTTGAGAGACAATCCTTTAGACACGGCGATTGCCATAATAGTTCTTACAGTAGTCATCTTCACCACAAGTCCAAATGTTTCATCATAATCAAGCCATATTCTTGATGATTTCCAAGTGCCACCAATCAAGCCTTATACCTTTATACAGAACTATCAAATCGATTTTTGATGGCATATACTCATTTGCATCCAATAAGCTTTATTCCATCAGGACATGGAACGATGTCCCATGTATGATTATCCTGAAGTGCTTGAAGTTCTTCTTGCATAGCTTGTCTCCAACATGCATGATTAGAAGCCTGAGAGTAAGATTTGGGCACAATAATAATATCGAGAGTAGCTTGATGAGTAGTATGTGAGAAGCTATACTTATCTGGAGGTCGTGAAATTCGAGAAGACCGTTGAGGTACAGTGAAGACGGGATCAGGCGTTGGTTCAATGTTAGAAGGAAGCACTGGAGACGATAGAAGACATCTCTAGTACACAAGTCCAGGCTTAAAGCGTTCAATAGTATAAGACAAATCATCAAACTCAGGTAGTTGAATAGAAGTAGAAGGAAAATCAACATAAGATTGAAAGAAATATTGAGTTTTAAAGAAAACCACATTTCGAGAGACATGTAGCTTGTTAGCATTAGGATCATAACATATAAACGCTTTTTGTGTATTATTATACCCGAGAAACGCACATCGAGTAGACTGTGCAGTAAGCTTGTGATTTTCAATGGAAGGTAAATGAGCAAAGCAAACGCAGCCGATCACATGAAGATAATTATACTTAGGTGCAACATCGAAAAAACGAGAATACGGAGAATCGAGCTGTAAATTTGGAGAGGAAAGCCCATTAATCAAATAAACAACTTTGGATAAAGTTTCTACCCAAAATTTAGGGGGCACAGAAGATTCAATCAATAAAGTACGAACATCTAAAAGATGCTGATACTTACGCTCAGCAACCCCATTCTATTGGGGAGTGCAAGAACACAAACGCTGAGAGAGAATTCTTTTATTTTGAGATATTCTTGAAATTCATTAGACATCTATTCCCCTCCCGAATCAAAGCATAATATCTTAATATGAGTAGAAAATTGGGTCTCAACAAATGCAACAAAATTTTTAAACCTGGAAAACACATCACCTGAAACGACTATAGTCGTCAATGAATGTTACAAAATACTTATAATGAGAATGAGAAGGTATAGGACTTACACCCCACACATCAGTATCAATAATCTCAAAACATGTGAAAGCTCGATTAGCATGTGACGGAAAGGTAAAGTTTTGCTTTTACCAAGTTTACAATAACTACAATCAGAAGACATATGAGAAAATGAATCTTTATTGGCCAAAAAAACCATTTTTTATGAGATAAGTCAAGACCTTAGAATTGGGGTGACCTGATTTCTTATGCCAAACATTGCTATCAATAGCAACAACAGTAGATGCAAAGGAATCAGAAATGGAAAATTGAAGAGGAAATAAACATCCCACTTTAGGTCCCTTCGCGATCACTTTTCCCGATATTTGATCCTACACACTACAACCAGAACGATTAAAACGAATTTCATAATTATCATCTATCAACTATCCAATAGAAATCAAACTCGTAAATAATTCTAGTAACACAAATACATTGGTAAAAGAAGATCCCAAATTTTCAATTGCTTAGATAGGAAGAGTATTGCCATTGGCTATTTGAGTGTATTGATTGCCCTCATACTTACGAATATCATGTAGGGCCTCTATACTACCTATCATATGATTGGATGCTGCCGAATCAACCAATCAAGGAGAGGTAAGTAGATTTTTCTTACCTTGAAAACCAAGAGCAGTGAAAGCAGAAACAATCATCGTTGGACCATCTCAGGTGTAAGAGTAGTGGAAGAACCAGTTTGAGGTATAGTGGATGAATTAGGTTGGACAGCAGTGTGAAAGGTCGTCCCTTGTTTAATTTGAGGCCGCACTCAACAGTCTTTAATAATATGTCCTTCCTTTTTGCAGTAATTGCAAAATTTCTTGCTGCAATTTTTCGCAACATTCCCAAACTCCTTGCAATTGTAGCATTGTAGTTGTGTCTTGAATTTTCCTTTCCCTTGAGTAGCATATGCCACATTAACCATCTCAGTTGTAGTTGTTTTTGGAATCATCCCAAGTTGTGTGGCAAGACGTTCCTCACGTAGTAATTCTCTCAGGCATACATCTAAGGAGGGAATCGGAGTACGGTTTAGTAAATTAGCCCGCACAGTCTCAAATTCTGGTCACAACTTCATCAGAAATTGATCTCTCTGACTCTTAGCATAAATAGCATGAAGTGTTACTAAAGCTTCCTTAGGGACTTTGGAATGAACTACCCCAGAATATTCACTCCACAGATTAAGAAATCCAGCCAGCATAAAATTGATCGATAGAAAGATTACCCTGATTGTAGTTGACAATTTCCAACTCCAATTGAAACTTTTGAGCACATTATCTTGATAGTAAATACGCTTGAGGTAATCCCACATTTCTTTAGCGATAGTGAAGGAACGAAGATTGGTTAGTAGCCATCAACCAATCTTAGCATCCTTACTTTCCCATGAATTAAGTTCTTTGGCGTTAGTAGGTGCCGTAGAAGATCCATCCAATGACTTCATAATTCTTTTCCTTTCACAAACATCCGGAATTGAAATTCCCAACTCGAGTAATTTTTTCCATTAAAATGAATAATAGAATTTTCTCCCTACATAATGAAGCAAGTAAATAATTTAGCCCTCTTTTGGTCCTCGTTACATCTCATCAAATTAAATTAAATTTTTCTCTTATTTTCAACCACACAATCTTCAATAAAATAATATTACACGTAAATTAAAAACTTTTCATTCTTCTACAACCATTCATTTAAAAAAAAATTATTCCCTTCATTATAATCAAAATTAATGGGAGCCAAACGAAGGATTACTACACAAATCTAATAAAGTAGCAATGCAATTAAATTTGAGTCCAAGTCCAAAATGTGTTATGTAGTCCAATAGAAAGCCCAAATTATTTAAGTACAAGAAAGAATCCTATAATACTAGCCTAACAACCGAAAGCCCAATCCAAAATATTACCTGTCCAAATAAAGGAGCCCAAATCTAATATTTTATCAAATCAACAGAGACCCAGAGCCCAAATCTAAAATCGTCGAATACGACTGCTAGCCAATGAACTTGTGCACCGAATGAGTCCAAGAATGAAGTTCCCACTAGACACCTGGAATTAATGATCTGAAGGAGAAGACGGCTAAAACTTCCACCAGTGACACGCTTGAAATCGACCCACAAAGACCTCTAAAGACCAAGAGTACACCGGCTACCATTGATTGCACTTTATCCACTATAAAATGCCGACCAAACTCAGAACCTGAGAATGACAGCCAAGACCAAAGTTTTAATCGAGATATAATTTTTCAAAGAATCAAGGAAGACTCCGATACCATGTTAAATTGATTTTAACTGCCTCTCAATGGAGGATTTTCATTTCAATATATAGAGAACCGTTGCTTGATACATGGCTGACATACAGATAATTACATCAATTTGTCCCCCTTTTGATATAGTAAAAATATATTGTTTCTATATACAAAATGCTAATTATACTAATTAAAACATGTATGATTTGGACAAGAATAATCTTGTCTAACATAAACAAGGTTGAGTATCATCAAAGCCTGAATTAAATGCCTTTTTGTGTATAGTTTAAATAATTTCTGTCATGCATTATCAAAGGAATAGCTAACATTATATAAAAGCCTATTGAAACTAATCTACTATATTTCAGTAGTGATTTGCTGTGATTGAGTTTAAATCTCATGGGAATTTGTTGGACATGAAGATTGGACTTGAGAAGATGAAATTGTGAACTGATCAATGGTTTTGTTAAAACATCAGCAATATGATCTTTGGAAGAAATAAAACAGACCTGCAATTTCTTTTGCAATACAAGATAACGAACATGATAAACATCAATTTCAATGTGTTTGTCCTTGCATGGAATTTTGGATTCACGGAGAGGTATGTCATGCCAATGTCACGCCAGAGTTGAGGAAAAGTAAACAATGAGTGCTGGATTTCTGTGAGTAAGGACTGAATCTATTGAACCTCTGTAGCAGCAGTAGAGACAGCCTCGTATTCATCCTCGGTGCTACTCTTTGCTATTGTCTCTTGTTTGCAAGACCAGCAAATGAGATTATCCCAGTGGAAAATGCAATAGACCCCTACAAAACATCGATCATCTCCATCAGATGCCCAATCTTCATTTGCAAATGCATGTTAAGCATTAGCTAATCATTTGGATAGAAATCAGCCATTCAAGATGGTGTTTTTCAGATAGCGTAATATATGTTTTACAGTAGCCCAGTGAGCATCCCGTGGGGAATGCATGTATTTGCTAACTTTATGAACAGCATAAGCTATGTCTGGACGTGTAAAGCTCCAATATCATAGACCTCCAACTATGCTTCTGTAGAGAACTACTGTCAAGCTTAGTACCACATATTTGGAGAGTCGAGCGGTGGAAGCCATTGAGGTAGTGCATGGCTTAACTTTGTCAAGATCAGCACGGTGGAGAAGGCCAAGAATATATTTTTCTCTGTGTAAGAAATAAACCGTCTGATGTACATAAGACCTCAATCCCAAGAAAATAAGAGAGGTCACCAAGTTCTTTAACTGGAAAAGTATGAGACTAGGCATGAATTACTTTATTTACTTTTGATTTTGCAGACTCTGTGATGATAATATCATCAACATAAATGAGAGAGAATAACTACAAATTGGCTTTCTGTAGCATATATAGAGATGTTTCAGCCTTTGAAGCTACAAAACCCAATCTTAGAAGCAGCGCGAGAACCACGATTGTGGCGCTTGACATAAGCCATAAAGACTTCTATTTAATTTGCACAAATAATTGGGATAATCAGAATGGACATAACGTAGGGGTTGACTCATGTAAACATCTTCATCAAGTACTCTATGTAGAAAAGCAGTCCGAATGTCTATTTGTTTTAAACGCCAGTTTCTTGTGATGGCAATGGAAAGAACCATACGAATGGTAACTGGTTTTACAACTGGGCTAAAAATCAACTCCTTTATGTTGATGACAGCCTTTTGCAATAAAGCGGGCTTTAAACTGTTTAATTTGCCCATCATCACGACCTTTAATGCGATACACCCGCTTGCAACCCATTATGTTGACACTTGATACAGGTGGCACTAAGGTCCATGTCTGGTTTCGAATAAGAGCATCAAATTCATTGTTCATTGCTGATCTCCACTTAGAAGATTTCATTGCCTCCGAATAACATGTTGGTTCCAGCTGAACTGATGTTTGAAATGCAACAAGAGCCTTTGGTAGTGGGTAACGAATGTGATAAACTGGTGTTTTCTTAGGCTTAAGAGAGTTGGTCTTTGATCTGGTTACCATTTGTTGCGAAGAAATGGGCTCTTGCAAACTAGAGGTTCAATGTCAACCATTGGATCAGTAGAAGTCACAACAGGTAATGATCCAAGATTTAAATCAGGAGAGCTTTGACTAGTACAGGTGTTGGAACATTTTGAACTGCCAATGATGGGGAGGTCGATCCAAGTGGGTGTTGTACACGAGATTGAGTATCTGCATAAAACAAAATAGGAGAGCAAGAGGATTGATTTTGACTAAGATTAGCAGAAAGAAAGGTATGAGTGGAAGATGAGGCTTTTTGTGGGAGAGATGTGTTTGTACAAAAAGAAATTTTCATCAAAAATAACATGACATGAGACAAATATTTTTCCTGTTGCTACATCAAGACATTTGTAACCCTAAAGAGAAGTACTATAACCAATAATCAATTTTATGATGATTATAAAGTTGTAAATTTGGTTAACATGCACATTCAAACACACATAAATAATTAGAATTTGGTCTTCGTTTGTATACCATTCAAAGGGGTGATTTTTGATTCAAAAATTTTGTTGGGGGATGATTAAGCCCCCATTTTTTCAAATTAAAATGGGAGGAATAGTATTTTCTTGAAAAATGAATTGTTAAAAAAGAAGAAAAATTTCGATTTACGAGTAATATTATTTCAAGGAAATTTAATTTAATGAGGGCCAAATGTGGGCTAATTATATAAGTGGCAATTAGAAAAGCGTCTTCCTAAAATTGTTTTGGACGTTGGAATGAGCTAAAAGAGCTAGACCTATTTTAACTATTTGAAGATGTTGTCTTCTATTGCATCCATCTGTTCATTCGTTTGTGGACATACAAGCCGATGTTGAATTCTAATGTTCTTAAAAAAACTACTAAACATCTATATTCACCGCCCCAATCAGTTTATATTGATTTAATGGTCGTATCAAATTGGCATTCCACCATTTTTTGAAAATGAATAAATATAGAACATTTGATTTCAATTTTAAAGGAAATAGCCAAATGAACTTTGTATAATCATCAAGAAAACAGACATAATAAAGAGATCCATAAGTAGAAATTTCAGCACATGGCCCCAGACATCAGAGCAAAGCAATTTTAGAGGCCATGTAGCTGTAATATGAGACTGATAAAAGGCAAATTATGGCTTTTTGCCAATTGACAGTCAGGACATAAATTCTGTCTCTTATTTGTAGCAACAGAGATTTTATTTGAGCAAATGACATGTTGAACAATAGGGTAAGAAATATATCCGAAGCGTTGATGCCAAACTACTATTGAAATACAAGCACCAATATAGGCTGATGCAGGACATGGCTGATAAGGCTGCGAAAAATAGTAGAGGCCATCTCGGACATAACCTCTATGCTGGATGTTCCCCAAGTAGTCCTTTATGATGAAATAGTGTCCATGGCAAAAACACATTGTTATCATTAGCAAATTTTTGAACTGAGAGAAGATTTTTACAGCTTGTTTGGGAGTGATTTTTTACCCCAAAAAATTGATTTTTTTTATCGTTATTTCACCATTCCAGCCGTCATATTTGACTTCTTCTCTTACAGGTGGACCCCATTTTTCTCCTAACGGTCAAAAAATCAATTCTCAGAATCACTCCCAAACAGGCTCTTAGTAATTGAAGGAACAACTAGAATTTGGTTTAGGAGTATTTAAAGAGGCAGAACCAACATGAGAGAGAGCCTGTCCCATTTTCCACTTGAATCTGGTCAGCACCATTGTAATCTTCTGAATGTAATGTGAGGTTATTGACATCAGTAGTCGTGGTGGGTGGTGGCCGAGTTGTGATGCCAGTCGTGATTGGTACTGGAGGCTGAAGCATAGTTAGCCTCGATTGGCCTAGGAGTTGATGGAGAGAGGTCATGACGAATCTTCATCATCGTTGAACCGTGGAAATTTTATTGAATTGGTGAAAGTTTTTGCAAAAATGAATGTAGAAATTGGAGAAGTTGTATTGGATAAAGCTCCTCAAAATGCTACATATACTAGTCCAAATGTTCAGAAAGAAATTTTGCACATTATGGCTAACAGAGTGCGACAGATGATTCGTGATGAGCTTGGAGAAAATTGCTTTTGTATTCTTGTTGATGAAGCACAAGATGAATCTAAAAGAGAACAAATGGCCATTATCTTGCGATTTGTGAACAATGATGGTGTTATAATAGAACGTTTCTTTGCAATCAAAAGCGTTAGTGATACTACATCATCAAATCTAAAAAATGAGATATGTGATGTTCTTGTTCGTCACGACCTTCAGGTTAAAAAAATTAGAGGGCAAGGATATGATGGTGCTAGTAATATGCGTGGTACTTGGAACGGACTTCAAGCGTTATTTCTTAAAGAATGTCCATATGCTTACTATATCCACTGTTTTGCTCATCGACTACAACTGACATTGGTTTCTGCAGCCAAGGATGTGATTTGTATTTGGAAATTTTTTTCTCATTTGGACAATATTGTTAATATTATTACTTCTTCTCCTAAGCGCATTAATGCGCTACAAACTGCTCAAAGAAGGGAGTTTGAGGATATGTTGGCTAGTGGAGAACGACAATCTCGAAGTGGGATCAATCAAATTGGTAATTTGCAAAAATCAGGCTCTACTCGTTGGAGTTCACATTATGAATCGGTAAAGAGTTTGATAGATATGTACGCTGCAACTTGCAAGGTACTTGAGTATCTTATTGTTCATTCTCCAAATGGAAGATCTCGTGCTGAGGTTCATGGTGTTTATGAAACCATTAAAAGCTTTGAATTTGTATTCTCATTACATTTAATGCATAAAATTTTGGGATTCAGCGACATACTTTGTCAAGCTCTTCAAAAAAAATCTCAAGACATCCCCACTGCTATCAGATTTGTCTCCACTACAAAAGGTCTCCTTCAAGAATTTAGACAAGATGGTTGGGAGGAATTTCTTAATGCGGTGAAAATTTTCTGTTTAAGAAATGATGTTGATATACCCGACCTAAACTCGTTTTATAAGATTGGTCATCCTCGTGAAGAAGTTACGCTTGAGCATCATTACCACTTTAATGTTTTTAATGAAGCCATAGATTTCCAACTGATGGAGTTAAATACAAGATTTAATGAACTATCGGTGGAACTCCTTTCTCTCACTGTTGCTTTGGATCCTCAAAATTCTTTTGAATCATTCAATGGGGACGATATTTGCAAGCTTGCAAAAAAGTTTTATCCTTGTGATTTTTCACAGCAAGAGCTTCATTCTTTAAGGTTTGAGTTGAAACATTATGAGTATGATGTGATTCGTGATCCTCGATTTCAAGTGTCTTCACTTTCTGAATTATGCAAGCTTTTGGTTGCAAGTAGAAGGTCAGAAAATTGCATTGTTCTCACTAAATTGATTCCTCTTGTTCTAACACTACCTGTATCTACAACGACTACTGAACGAGCTTTTTCAGCAATGAAACATGTGAAAACAGCAATTCGTAACAGAATGGAGGATGAGTTTCTTGCTGATTGTGTGATGCTCTACATTGAACGAGAATTTGCCAAGAAAATAGATATAGATTCTATTATAGACGAATTTTATGTAGTTAAAGCTCGACGGACTCAACTTCAGTAGGTAATGTCGTAATGAAATTTTATGTCATGTACTTTATAAAATTTTTGCATGTATATTTTAAATTTCAGCCCCCCCTCAACATAATTTTCTGGATCCGCCCCTGCTAACAACGTTATCCAATAGAAATTTGTGCAGTTTTCTCTAATAACTAAATCAATTTGTATACGGAAGTTCCAAGTCTAGAATAGGAATATAGAAGAAAAAGTTTGACTAGACCGTGGAAAAGATTTGTCCAAAGAAGAGAAGAAAATAGGAAATGTTGTTTGGACAGAAAAAGCATTTTCATTTGTAGTGGGATCAACTAGTTTAAATATTAAATTTTATATAACAAAAACTCTTGGATAGAAATTCTTTAAAACTTAATTTCTTGCAAACTCATTTTCAATATTGCGTTAACTTTGCACGTAAATCAATAAAAAAATGTTAACTTTGTAACCACACATTTTCCCAAAAACTCATTTTTTTTATAAAATTTATCTACAATATATTAAAAGTGGGGATTGAGAAGAAACTTTTGATTACCAATTATACCCTTATTTATTTTGCTTTAAGTCCAATATGCCATCATTTATCCTCATATCTTTAATTTTCCATTTTACCCTTATATTTTTATATTTATGGTCAATAATACCCTTAAAATTATATTTATTTCAACTAAATTCAATTATTATTAAAATTAAAATTATCTATCTTTTAAATCAAGTGAATTAATTTCCGCTAAACACTATTATTACTAATGATTAGTATATGATTAATAAAAACTTATATAAATACAAAATAAAAATTATAACAATATCACATATATAATTAACATGAAATGCCATAGATTATTAAATCAATTAATATTAATATATAAGATTTATAAAAAAATAAAATTATAAATACACTTAAATAAAATTTTAAACCTAATATTACTGAATAAAAGAATAGCGCATTCCTAAAAGATTTCATTGAAAATAAAACATAATAGTAAAAAAAAAATCTCATTAACTAATGTTTACTTAATACGTATTAGATGAAAAGTCATTTTATAATAATCCATCAACTCTTTGATC